TGTACAAGACAAAAAAAAAAAAAAAGAAAAATGATAAATCTCTGCAAATTTAACATATACTTCTTCTCAGAGATTAGTATTTATACTAATAATATGTTTACAATAATTTAATTTATACTAATGTTTACACTAATATGCTAATAACAATATGTAGGCAATGTCCGTTTGTAATTTGTGACCTTACAGTCTTCCTTTCCCAACAGCACAAATCTTTTTCCTTCCCCTTTCACTGTTATAAACTGTTCTCATGTCTGTAATGTTGGAAGGCTGTACAGAGGCGTGTCTGATGGGGTCAGCAGCACAGGATCCCTGCTATCACAGTCAGGGAATCAAGTTCTCCCTTAAAATTAATTAGATTTATCACTGTAATTCTCAGTCCTCAGTGCCATCCTGCTGTCTTGGAACTGAGTACCTCTAAAAGGAGTCCAGCTCCATCCTCCCTGGACCTTCTCTTCAGGAATTTACAGTCACTGATGAGATGCCCCTGAGTGTTCTCCAGGCTAAACATCCCATCCTTCTTAGCCTTTCCTCATAAGGAAAGCTGCACCAGTCACTTCATCATCTTTGCTGTCTCACTCCGTTAGGTCTGGGTCTCTCCTGTACTGTGGAGCTCAGAACTGGTCCCAGCACTTCAGATGCTGCTCCACCACTGCTGAGAAGGGAAAGACCACCTCCCTTGCCCTGCTTGGTGGGGTTCTGAATGCAGTGCAGGATAAAAGGGCTGCATGAAAGACAGTTTACATCCATTTGTTCTTGTGCTAGTGTTTTCTTTGAACTTAAGTAGCACTATGGTTTCTAACTGCCTGAAAGGAAGCATAAACAGCCGTATCCCCTCTAAGTCTTCATTTTACTAGACTAAACAAACTGAATTTTTCTAGTCTGCACTTGTTTGATAATATTCACCACTCCCCAGTCCTCCCAGTAACCCCTTTGTGGGTCTGTTCCAGTTTAAACTCTTCTTCCCTAAGTGATGAACACCAGATCAGTGCTGATTTTTCCAGGTGGAGTCTCAGCAATTCTTTTTACAGTGCAATTGGTACCTGCTTTCTCACTGTAGGAAATAACTCAAGTGATAAAGCCCCAGCTAAAGGCAATTTTTTTCATGGTATCATGTAGTTGTGGATCCAATCTGTATACCCATAGACCTACTCTCCTTATGTAAACAAATGTTAGCAAGGTATTTGAGTCTGCAGCAGAGGTGTGGCCCCTCTGCATGTGCAAAATGGTTTCCTTCAGATTCAGTAAACTTCAGTCACAATTTCAGAACGTATTTGAGCAATATAAAGAATTCTGTGCTCATTTAATTCTGTTAATATAACTTCACATACATAGCAAAAACCAGTAATTTGAAACTACTTCTTCCTGCTAAGTGATAAGAGATGTGGAACAGAGCTCTGTGCCTCCTCTACTGTGAGTGGAGCAAAGGGATTGTCTTATATGATGTAGTGAAATATGTTAAAAGCTAAGCAGGTGCCCTCAGCGATGTGTTCATGTTGTCTGCTGTGCTGCACAGTGGGCTGAAGTGTCTAAAAACCTTTTGCAATACTGTGTCAGAGTCAGAAAAAACACCCAGTCTGACCAGCGGAATTGCATTTGATGTGTTTTCCCTCACAGCAAGGAACATCTGAGCTTGAAGGAGACTTGACTGCATCTACCTCCGGGTAGATGAGATTTACTGTAATTGTTCCTTCAGCTTTAGTCTGCAGTCTTCTTAGTAACCCAGGGTGAGGATGGAGGAGGCATTGGGGTCCTACCAGAGGTTTGGTTCTCAGGCAGGTAAAACCAAACAGACAATTCAAAACGCCTGAAAATTAGCCTGTAAGAACAAATTTAATCTGTTCACCACCAAGTCTGTAAACTAATTGTACTGTTACAAGAAGAAACATACTGTGTAAGAATCTAAGTACATGTATTTTAAGCAGCAGGAGAATATTTAGGTGCACGTATTCTGCATATATTCCTAACGTTGACAATTAAAACTACTTCTGAATGTCAGAATTTAATCTGCCACCACAGTCCCTGTCTAGGCCCAACATGTTGAGTGTGTAGGATGCTTTTCATGCCTCCAGCAGTGTTTTAGAGACATAGTCAAAACATGTCTCTGATATGGTGGCAAACATCCAGCCCAATTAAAATCCAGCTTGAATTTGGAAACAAAAAGGAATTGGAAAATCTGCCTGAAAACCTATCTGAAGGCATTGGGCACAATCCTGCTCATGTGTATACTGGTGTAACTTCAATACGTTTGTCCATAGGGCCTACCTACAAAGTCTAGTGATACAGAACTTGGGTTCCCAGTGTACAGTTATGGATAGTCACTATCTTCTTTGGGTGCTCTCTAAACATCCGCATTTTATTCAACAAAAGAAATACAAGTTTGTGTGCACAACAGGTCATATTTATACATATGAAGTCGTATTTCATCCCAGCCACCTAATATGAAATGTTTCTTCCTTCTAGAAAATCCAGGTCTGCTTTCTATATACTAAATGCTATTTTAAAGGACAAATAACTATCCAAACTATCCATCCTTCTTTTTTTTTTTTTTTTTTTTTTTTTTTTAAAAAAAAAAATAATTTTATAATTTTTTTTTAATTTTTTTTTTTTTTTTTCATAATGTAAGTAAAATATAATAGGTTATTAACCTTGAATATAACTGTTGGTTTCATTGTATAGTAGTTTTTTCTTTTTACCTCTCTCTCAGGCTGTTTGATGTGGTAATGACTTAAGACTGAAAATAAATTTTGTTTCATTTCCAAATTTTAATTTTAAAAAGTGCTCAGTAAAAATTGGAAACCTACCACAAGTAAATTTGGTATTAAAAACCTCCAGGGTAAGCATGTCTTAGACTTCAAATGCTGTAGAATCAAATACTTTGTCTTTCTCTTGACACTTCTAACACTGAAAGACAAATAATTGCTTTATTTCCCCTGCTCTCACTTCCCCTCATCTCCAGCTCTTGCGACACACAATGGAATTAGACATGCTGGTGATAGCATGCCCCAGTCAGGCAAAGCAAGATGTATGCTGGGGACATTGCTGAGAAGACAGATATTCTTGCCAGTCTCCTTGACATTTCTTCCTGCCTTTAGTTGAAAAAAAGGAGGGCAGTGGAATGTTGTGCCTTACCAGCAGGACCTCAGGCACTCACTCTGGACACACAGCGTGGCTCCCCAGTTTCTGTATCATGAAGCAGAGAAGCTGATCCTCCTGCTCAGAATATACAGAAAGTCATGAACATGCCTTGATGTCAATCCACATTATCTGTGTTATACCTTGGGAAAATGAGGAGCAATTGAAGCACTTCACCAAACTAAAGCAAGGAGTAATATTTTCTCTCCTTACTGAACTGCAGATTGGTGGATAAATGCATGGAAATGGAATCTGCTTTAACAGAGGTGATTGAACTAATTAATCTCCAGAGATCAGATCTTCCTTCCAACACCTACAATTCTGTGATTCTGAGAAACTAATAGAAAGTAAAATCCATATGAAGATTCAATCCTCACCCTAGTGACACTGCAGCATTTCTGCTGATAGCAGTCATGCAAAACAGGAATAAAATACTGGGGGGGGGGGCGCCCGGGGGAAGGTAAACAGGAACTGGAAAAAGTGATCAAGGAAGGATGACTTTTGAACATTTTGCCCCTACGTTTACATCCTTGCTCCCCCCACTTACCATCAGCATTTTCTCCAGCTCTCATCTATTCTCACTGCAGAAGCAGAAAGCTGTCACATCTCATCTGGTATCTCCCTTCCATCTATCTGCATGCCTGGAATAGCTGGCAGCTAATTCTGATGGATGAATGACCCATCAGTAACCCTCAACAGTTACCATGGGGCATGTAAGCTGATCAAGCTTAAGGAATAGTGGCAGTGAGAAACATTCATTCAGAGATGCTACTGGTGAAAAGATAAAGATGTAAAGGGTTCCATACGGTAGCTGTGTCCAATGGGGAAATACAGTACCAGAAGACAAGCATCTTACTGGTATCAATTGCACTTGCTTCCTTCTGCCATTTTGTTTGTCATCTTGCAGTATATTCCAAGCATTCTCTTTCCTCCTCAGTGGAGTTGAAAGCAGTTCACATGCACTAACAAAAGCAGTTACATGCAGGAACAAGAACTATCACTGAAGTCTAATTCAAAATATTTATAAACCATTACTCATCAGAAAAAATACAAATTAAGATAAAAAGCAATCAACTTAAATATCAGTATTTTTGGAACATAAAGGTAGAAAAAGCCATATTTGAGATGTCTGATTTCTCTTTTCTTTTTTTTCTTTTTTTCTTTTTTTTTAATTTCTTCTTTTTTCTTCATTTTTCTTCCCCCTCTACCTTGTTTTCAAGTGTTCAGCTTAATTTGTAGGCTTGCAGTATTTGTATTAAAGTAATTGACCTTTTCCTTTGCCATTTTTGTATGGTAAGTGCATTGCAGAATGACTCAAATTATTACAAACTGTCCAAAACTTATCATCAAACAATGTCATTACTGGTACAAGGCACTCTCTTGCTTTTCAGATGCAGATACACTGAGATATTTGATAACAACAATATATATTCCTCTCTTTGCATCCCGACTTGCTGCTTTAAGCAACTATGTGAACCAGGTAATAAAAGCAGCTGCATTTTATGCCATCTCTGTATTTCCTGACTATGCTTTATGGAGGACACCAAGTTCTGAGAGTTCCATTTATCTCCTAGTTTTCTGCTCCATGTTTGCACGTGGAAGTGCTATGTCTGGAAGACTGTTTATCCTGCTGTGCACCTACTGAGACTGTTTCCCTGTCTGGAGATGGGCTTACTTTTACAGTGTTCTTGTAAAGCTGTGATACTGCATACTGTTCAGACACCACTAACTGTGTAAAAAGGGGGAAGGAAATAGGAAGAGTAAAGGCTTTAAAAGCAGAGATTGTGAGGGAAAAAAACTGGAGAATTTAAGATTTTACAATGGCTTAAATAAAGATAATTGCTTAGAAAGGCTCAAGTAGACTTGAAAATGTTTTCTTAGCTTTTATTTGACACTGTTTTCTCCCAGTTATAGAATCACAGAGTTGTTTGAGTTGGAAGGGACCTTTAAAGGTCATCTAGTCCAACTCCCCAGCAACGGACAAGGATTTCTATTGCTGCATCAAGTTGCTCAGAGCTCAGCCCAGCATGACCTTGAGTGTATGCAGGGATGGGGCAGGGCATCCACCACCTCTCTGGCCAACCTGTTCCAATGCTTTATTGTAAAAAAGGCAGTGGAAGTGGTTGCCCAGAGATGTGGTGGATGCTCTGTCATTGGAGACAGTCAAGGTCAGGCTGGAGCAGGCTGTGAGCACTCTGACCTAGCTGCAGATGTCACTTTTCATTGCAGGGGAGTTGGACTAGGTGATCTTTAAGAGTCCCTTCCAACTCAAAAGATTAAAGAGAATCAGTCTCAGTACAGACCCCTGATGGACACCATTTGTCACTGATCTCCACTGACCACTACTGATAAGAATTTGCAACCGGTTCCTCATCCACTGAACAGTCCACCCACCAAATACCTGTATTTCCAATTTAGAGAGAAGGATGTTATGCAGGATAGTGTCAAAGGCCTTACTGAACTTTTGACAGGTGACATCAGTGGCTCTTCCATTGTCCATTGATGCACTGACCATCATAGAAGTCTGGCAAAAACTAGTGAAACAGGAATGCACTTGCTATCAGTATGCTTGTTTGTGACATTTTTGTAGCTGTATTTTTCACTGAAGAGCACACAAGACACATACAAATAAATATTTATACATCCAATTGAATGAGTTGTTTTACCAGGGTATTGCAGATATAAAGCTCTCATCTTCAGCATCCTCATATCTGAGCAAGGAGTGAAATTGGAGCGTCTTACACTCATCATCTCTGAGCTCAGCACTTAGAAACCTTTTTCTCTCTTAATACCCATTTCAGTCGTAATACCCACCTAGTAGATAGCCATCTCCACTACAGAGGTTGTGATGATGCATGCAAGCCTTGAGGCATTTTGGTTTAAAAACAAACTTATGAAAACTAAGACACTCTTGTGTTGGTGAGCATGATGCTCAGCAATATAGTATCACTGATATTACCTCCACTTTTTATTTAAATGCTAATAAAGTTTCAAAATGCCATCTCACACGGTGACCTGTATCTTAGATGTAAGCACAGCCCAGAGCATCTTGCAGAATCAAATCAATTTGTTTGTGATAAATCAATTTTAAATACCTCTTAAGATTAAATACTATCTGATCAGATCCTTTCACAGAAAATCAGGCTCCACGAATCACATCATCAGATAATAATATTTTTTCAGTTTTATACCCAAAAGCTAACTGTGATCAACATGGTTGCCCTAGAATAATTACTTGCACATCTGCAAATACATCTGGGTTATTTGGTTTCTGGCTCAGTTTTGGATGGTGGCAGAGGCTGTCTGACCTTGGTAGAACATCAGTTCTTTGAGGTTTCATAAAGCTTTTTGCTATTCTTTTCTTGTGAGATGGTAGTAATGAACTCCTTTCTACTGAGACTTTTGACCACAGATCTAATCCCCCCCTACTCTCACAGCCAAGAATTTCCTATCCCAGCACATACCCCTCTGGCTCTTAAATCAGGTCCATTATTTCTTCTCCCTTTTACAGGGTCTTAAAAACCCGCTTTCCAACACTACATGTTATATATACATACCAGTTCTAACATCTAGGTCCACCAGAAGCTAATCATTTTTTCATACTTGATTATTCTGTCTGGCACATTCAGAGGATAGGATAGTTGTGTACAAGTACAGATTGCTCTCTGGGTCATCTAATGATCTTATGGGGCCCATAGAACATAACTGTCTTACTATAGTGCTGTAACGCCAAAGATTTGGTGCAGACCAGAAGAAATACATTCTGCTGCCTAATAGATGTTGTCAGGTGGAGTAACAAGTGCTGCCATAAGCATTCCTCAGAAGAGAACTTAAGAAGTTGGTGGAATCAGCTCCTTCATCTTGGCAGTCAATGTGAATAAAAGTGCAAAAATTCCTTTTCATGACTACCTAAAAAAAAACAAAGAAAAAAAGATTTCACAAGAAGAGAAGAGCAGCTACAGTCTATGATAGAACAAATTAGACTGCATCTTTTCAAACATTTTTGCATATCTGGCTTTCTATACATGCAAATGTTTGAATATCATTCACAAACCTATTCCAAATAATAGTTAAAATATTCCTTCCCAAGACTCTTCGCACAGCCAAAATCTTAGGGAGTCTCATATAGAGAATCTTCAGTTTCTCATTAGCTAATTTCAGTTTTTACTTAATCTTGCAATGATACAATTTTCCAATGAGAAGTGGAAAATAGAGATAGAAGGGATTATTCTTCCTCCCATCTGTTCTATTTGTCTCTTTCCCAAAAACATCCAAGTTTTGCAGAACTCAGTTTCTGCAGAGCCATTCCACAGACCTTATGCTACATCTTGAGCCAACGCCTCCTTTCTCCTGGCTTCTTATAGTATACAGCAATATACAGGATGCCTCATTTCAACATCTTTCCCAGCTGAACCACATTTCATAACAAACTTAATTCCAGACGTCTACTTCCACAAGCAAGAAATCAGTGCATGCCAGCTTCTGCTAGTGATGTTCTCCAGACAGCTGGCTCTATTTGGTAAAGTCCCTCACCACGCTGAGTGCATGTCTCATATTTCCTTTCAGCATTCCTGTGACCAATGGCCATTCAGGGGCGGCAGGACTGACATTCATGCTTGTTCGCTCACAGCTCTTCTGAGCTGCTTTGTAAGGCTCATCCGGCTGCTGTGGTGTGCCTTCGCAGCAGCATCAGTCACTTTCTACCTCTTTTTGAAAGGTCTGCTGTTTCTCGGCGCAGCTATCTGTCTACCTATCATGTTTCGTTTAGCCCGTTCTCCTTGCAGTAGTTTAGCCCCACAGCAGACAGAATAACCCCGGCTGGATTTCAGCCTGTCTTCAGTAAGCAAAATGATGCAGATATCACTGGTTTTGCAACTTGGATCCCTGCCATTTAGTTGCACTAGAAAATAGGGATTGAAGCGCTGGAAAATATTTTGCTGAAGCTAAGGAAACACTTCTGGCAAACAAAACAAAACAAAACAAAACAGGCTTTAACAAGACACTTAAAATTAAAGCTCTCCTGAGATCATAAGCCTGCTGCAGTTTATCTGAACAGCTTTCCTGGCTTATCCATTACAAGCGAAGCCATCCTCGGAGCGCTGGTAACAGGCGTTACAGTTCGTAATGCTTTTTCCTGATGTGAGCGGACAGGTCGGGAAGGGACGCGACTCCTTCCTGCCGCGTTTGGGCAGGCGCTTGGGAAAATCCGCCAGTCCCCGTCTGGAGCAGCACCCTGTGAGCAGATTTGACACTTCACAGATTTTGAATTTGAGCGCGGCGCATCTTTTGCTCAAGAATTCCCTGCGGGCTCCAGTACTTTGTTCCGCGCAGGCTGCGGATTGCCGTTTCCCAAATTCCACGCAAGGGGCAGTACGGCAGGATGCCCAAAGCGGTCTCATGGAGACAACACGCGTCTTCACCAACCACGGCTGTAGTCATGGGGAGGCACAGCGTGGGGGATCGCACACGACACCGCACCTCATCCTTACAAAGACCAAAAAGGACGGCGCTATGGGCGCTGCGCCTTTTAACGGGTGCGGGGACGGCAGCGCCGCCCCGCCTGCCAGCGTCACGTGCCTTGCGGGCAGCGTGAGGGCGAGGCGCAATGCCCGGCTTCCCGTCCCTCCTGCGCATGCGCCGCTCCTCCCTTTATTTCGCCGCGGCGGGGCGCTGCTTGGCCTTTTCTCCGTCCGCTCACCCTCCTTTGGTAGTAGCTTGAGGAGAGGCGTGGTGGCTCCGCTTCCCGTGCCGAAGGCGCTCGGCTTTTTCCGATGTTGCTCGGCGCCTCCCCGCCGCACTCGCGGCGGATGATGGCGGCCGGGATTGGCGGGGCGGCGGCGGCGGTTATGCAAACGATGCTGTCGGCAGGCAGCGCCAGAGCCGGCTGAGCTGGGAGGCGACTGGGGCTGCGCCGCCGCCCGCCCTCCGCCTCCCTCTCCTCCTCCTTCTCCCCCCTCCTCCTCCCCGGCCCCCGCCTCGCCCCGGCCCGGCATGGACGTTGGCGCCGCGCGGTGCCGCTGAGCGGGGCCGCCCGGCGCAGACGGTGGGGGAAAGATGTCGGACACCAAGGTGAAAGTGGCCGTCAGGGTCCGGCCCATGAACAGGAGAGGTAAGCGGGGACCCGAGCGGGTGCGGGGAGAGGGGAGCCGGCCCGCCCGCCGGCTGCAGCCCCGTACCGCCTCTCCTTGCAGAGCTGGAGCTGAACACCAAGTGCGTGGTGGAGATGGAGGGCAACCAGACCGTGCTGCACCCGCCGCCTTCCAACAGCAAGCAGGGAGAAAGGTAAACCCCGCTGCCGGGGGGGTGGGATGGCAGCAGGCACGGCTCCGAGCTGCGGCGGGCAGCGCGATGTCCCCGGGCTGCGAGGGGAGCTGCGACGGGAGCGGGCGGTGAGGAGATGGGCTGGGAAACAGCCCGCGAGAAAGAGAGAACATAATCCCGAAATCTGGCGTGTGTGGTCACGATGCCCCGGTAAAGAACACCCCTGGAAGTAATCCAGAAATACCAACGCACCAGACTGTAAAAATAGATCGGAACAGGAAAAGATTTCTTCCTTTGAGGGAGCGTGGGGAGGTGCGGCAGAGCGGTGCTGGTGTTGTTATCTCTTGGGTTACCTGTTGACAACCCTGCTTGGTTGAGCTGTTAAATATTTGTGATGCCGTGTAGCATGGATTCGTTTTCATGGCTATAGGTTTTAGTCTGAACGAATCCTTACTGTTCGACACTTCATTAAGAATATATTTGAGTTTGGAATAGCTATGAAGAAACTAGTATGAGTGTGTGTGTGTATATATATATTTATATACACATACATATATATTCTTTCAAAGGCAATGTTTGAGTAGTTTTCCAGCAGAAAAGATCTTGGGCAACAAAGAGAACTAGAAGGTCCAGATATGAAGGCCCCACTCAGGTGAATCTGAATACAGGAATATAGCTGTGCTTGTGCCAGTTCAACTGAAATCCAATTCGTGCAGTTCTTAGGATCATCGTTATAGCTAATGCGTTGGCCTTGAAAAGAGCTGTGCTTGTTTCCCAGCTCCTTTTGAAGATCTTTGTGTGATCCACAGTTTGCACCATCTCTGTGTAGCCTCACTTCTGTAAAATGGGGAGCTTGGTTTTCTTGAGACTATTTTGGAAGGTGTGCTTTTGTGATTGTTTATTGAACTGTGTGCATGTTGTCTGTCACAACATGGCTATAGTCAAATCCACTCACTTTAAAGAGTTAATACTGTTCTTAGAGGTATAAGGCATGAAATACAAATAAAGTTCAAAAAAGCAATGGTAGAATCCAAGTTTAAAAATCATTATTTTGATGATCAAAAGAGCTTAAGAACCAGCTGGTTTAATGTAGAGACTGTTACACGTGAATTTTGCTTTTTGTGCATGCTGGTTCCAGGTATTCATTGACTCTTTTGAAAGCTTGTGCATGTCTTGTGTTGATCTGCCTGGGAGAAGAGAAAGCTCTAGGGGGGCCTTATAGTGGCCTTCCAATACCTGAAGGGGGCCTACTGGGGAGGGACTTTTATTAGGGCAGGTGACGCGGCGAGGTTGTGGATGCCCCCTCCCTAAAGGAGGCCAGGCAGGAGGGGGCTTTGAGCAACCTGGTCTAAAGGGAAGTGTCCCTGCCTATAGCAGGGGGTTGGAACTAAATGGTCTTAAAAGGTCCCTTCCAACCCAAACCGTTCTATGAATGCCTGTAGTAGATGTAAGTTCTTTTTACCTGATCTGATCTGGCTTCTGGTTGTGTCAAGATGTAATGGATACACTGTGATGCTTGTGTGCCATCTCACTAGCAATAGGTATGCTGGCAGGTGACTGCAGCCTTGTTCACAGCCTGCTGCTGCTCCGGGACTTGGCTGGCTGCTAAACATTTCACTTGTGTGCTGTAAGGAAGCAACTTCCTGATGTGAGAGGAGTGGAAATGCCAGTGCTCAGAAGTAACTCACTGGTGCAAAAATATGGTTTGGGTACCTCCTAAATGGCAGGTACTGCCTTACTTTTTTTATCAGTTTTAAACTGCTCATTTCTGATAAGGAGTTTAATTCCCATGTTGAAGAAAGAATCCCATTCTTCCATGTGTACCCAAATAAAATGTTGATATAGGCTGACTGAATTGCTGGGTAGTTGTTGCTTGTACTTGGATGGGTGCCTTGGCAGGGTTAGAGATGTCAAATGGATTTTTGGTTTTCTTTGTGTAGTTTCTTTTTATATACTTCAACTGGATTTATTTCTTTCAGAGTAACTGTGTCATTGCAAAAATTATTTCCCTTGTTGGAGTGATTAACTGATGTGCTGGATTGCATGATTTTAATATTCTGCTTGGTTTTAACTTCTTTTTGTATGGATTTTTTTTTTTTTTTTTTTGAGGACTATTAATAAAAGCTTGTACTGTGCTTTGGAGTTAGGAAAAAATGGCCTTCTGAAGAAAAGCTGGTTTCCAGGACTGCTTTTCTTAGTTGAGTTGAAGCTGAAAAACTATAGTTTGGGGGCTCGGGGAAGGAGGGTGGGAATCAGGACCCTGCTCTTTGTTTGCTTTGTTCTATTTTCCCAGTTGTCATTTTAAATGTATTGACAGAATTTTCTAAACCAAAATTAAGTAGCATTTTCATGACTATAATAGATATTCTCCCAAAAGCAAGTTAAAATTAGCAATATCAGATTTAAGTAGTTCTACCTATTCTGTAAGGAGTTCTTAATTAGATCAGATGCATGCTGTTAATCAATATCTACAACTTATTAAGGATACTTCTGAAGGATTTCAGATGGGAAAACTACTGTTGTTTTGCGAGTGGTGAAAAAAGCCTAAAATCCAAGACTGCTGTCATCTGTCCAACTTGCACTGTTGTGTCAGTTGTAAAGCTGTAACTTAGAACCATCCGTGGGTTCTGACTCCTTTTCCTAGGCTGTGCAGCATGTCTCCCTTAACAAGCACAGCTACAAGATAGTGATTGTTGCTAAACATTTTGTCCCATTTTGTAGGCAGCAGGCCTTTCATTCTGCACTTATGGCTTTCTAAACTAACAAACAAGGGAAAACAAAACATGGTAAAACCTGACAATCTGAGTCTGGAAAAAAAAACAGGAAAATCTTTACTGACTGTAGGGATAGCAGGCAGAGTTCAGAAGGATTTCATTAGCAGGTTTCAGGTATATTCACTGTTGCTAGCGAAGAGTTGTGCCTGTAGCCTTTGCTTTACTATTACTAATAGCAGTACTTTCCTTTATGCCTGCCTTAAAGTTATTTCTGTGGTGTTACCTCTTCAGTCTTCCATCTGTTTTCTCCCCCAAATAGGTTATGTTTCAAAAGTTTGTCCTCTGTCACGCTGTAAATGTTTGTATTTGGTTGGCAATATAAAGTGTACCTTATTGAAATATAACTATGAAATACGTTACAGCGTGGAGTTAGACGGGCTGTTAAAGTATCATAGGGATTTTTATGTTTTACAGTGGAAATACAAAACCACAGTCTGGGTTACTGAAGGTTTCGCTTTGTGTTAAAGGCAGTATTTTTTTAGTACTGTCAAAATGTTTCAGTATTGTTTTTTAGCAGGACAAATGAGGTTTTACTGTTGCCACCCCTGCTTTTGCTTGTTATAATAGGCTTTCCTCCAACCTTACCTTTCAGCTATGCTTTTTTAACACGCTGGGTCTAAGAAGTTTATTTTGATTCCCTGACAACAGTTCATGACATACTTTTTCTTTTGTTAGTAAACAAAATACTTGGCTTGACAGAAATAAACGGTGAGCTATGGAGGCAGAACTGAGATAACATTTCAACTGTAGTTTTGACTAAGCAAAAAGAAAAACACCAAAAACATCTGTTGGGCAATTTCTTTCATCAAAGCACAGTACTCTTCTGCAAACTTTGCCTTATAGAAGATCTTGAGTCAGAAAATGAGAAACCAGATTATGCAACCGAACTTAAAATTATCACTTTCCTCAGAACTTGTCGTCTTCATCTGGCATAATTGTTTTCTGTTTCAGAACTTGTTTGCTCTGTCTCCTATCATCATCAATTTGATGACAGACAAATAGCAACAAGGCTGAGTTATACTTCAGTAAAACTTTTTGTACCTTATATCACTCAGATTTGCTGAATTTGTTTTTTTTTTTCTTTGTTTTATTAGGCTTAGCTCTTTAGTAGTACAGATAGGTAGGGACAGGTGTATGCATGGGGGCTGTCTGGTTTTTGTAGGTCAGGAGACTTCAAAGATGAAAATCTGAACCACAGATTTAATCCCTAGATAGCTTGTCTTAAAACTCTTGTTTCTTGAAAACAGTTTTCACAGAGGTAGGGAGGTGACATGATTTTGGGATGGTCTTATTTTTAGTAGAGAGTCCTTCATGTGGTCACTGTGGTACTTTGTGTGTGTGTACTGCCTTAAATAGCATCAAAATGAGAGAATAGCACTACTGTAGGGAGGGAATGGAACTTGTGGAAGCTGAGATAAGACAACTGCTAATAGTTTCCACATCTGAAGGAGTGATCAGCAAATTTATGACTTTGATGTGTATACTATGGATTTTCACCTGAGGTAAATGAGGGAATAACAGCAGGCAGCACCTTCATCTGTCTACAGGAAATTGTAAAGGCAATCTGACTTTGACCCCTTCTGTTAGCTTCCTGGTAGGCGTTGGTGCTCAGGATGTGAACTGTTAGCTTTGAATCTTAATGGAAGAGGTGTGTTAAATATAAAACGTATGACTGGAAAAGAGCATTTCAGAACCATTTAATTGCTTTCATTCATTTGTGCTTCAGCTGAGATGCAAGATGCAGTTCCATAAAAATCACAATTGTAACACTTGTGTCTCAAATTACCGTGTGTTAAATTCCATGTATTTTGGATTATGAATTTGTGATTTGGTTCTTTGTTCTTCCTAACGTAGCCTGAGCTATGGTTAAATGGAATACCTTGTTATTTTACAATACTCACAGAGTCCAGGCAGCTATCAGGCAGGACCTTGTGCCCTTGTCTTTTAGTGGCCTTGATAGAGGAAGCTACCATTGCAGATGTTGGGATTGTGGGCAACTAGAAGGACTTAGCTGGCAGTGTTTTGGAACAAGAATCAAGTCTTTGAAGGGAAGGAAAGCTGTTTTTGTTGATACCATGCTTAGGCAGCCTTTGCTTCGTAGACATTCTCTGCTTTTGGATTACTGAGTATTGTTTTCAAGTGTAACTGAGCAGAGAACAATAAAATGAGGTTCTGCTTTGAACACACATGCGTTTTTTCTGTTTTTTGGTGTTAGAAATGCCTACATAATAGAATGTGAGAAGATTT